GAACAGGTAGTGAACAGAGTACCCGAGCAGGTAGTGAACAGAGTACCTGAACAGGTAGAGAACAGAGTACCTGAACAGGTAGAGAACAGCGTACCTGAACAGGTAGGTGAACAGAGTACCTGAACAGGTAGGTGAACAGAGTACCTGAACAGAGTACCTGAACAGGTAGAGAACAGAGTACCTGAACAGAGTACCTGAACAGGTAGAGAACAGAGTACCTGAACAGAGTACCTGAACAGGTAGAGAACAGAGTACCTGAACAGAGTACCTGAACAGGTAGAGAACAGAGTACCTGAGCAGGTAGTGAACAGAGTACCTGAACAGGTAGAGAACAGAGTACCTGAGCAGGTAGAGAACAGAGTACCTGAACAGGTAGTGAACAGAGTACCCGAACAGGTAGAGAACAGAGTACCCGAACAGGTAGAGAACAGAGTACCCGAACAGGTAGTGAACAGAGTACCCGAACAGGTAGAGAACAGAGTACCCGAACAGGTAGTGAACAGAGTACCTGAACAGGTAAAGAACAGAGTACCTGAACAGGTCGTGAACAGAGTACCTGAACAGGTAAAGAACAGAGTACCTGAACAGGTAGTGAACAGAGTACCTGAACAGGTAGAGAACAGAGTACCTGAACAGGTCGTGAACAGAGTACCTGAACAGGTAAAGAACAGAGTACCTGAACAGGTAGTGAACAGAGTAGGTGAACAGAGTACCTGAACAGGTAGGTGAACAGAGTACCTGAACAGGTAGAGAACAGAGTACCTGAGCAGGTAGAGAACAGAGTACCTGAACAGGTAGAGAACAGAGTACCTGAGCAGGTAGAGAGCAGAGCACCTGAACAGGTAGAGAACAGAGTACCTCAGCAGGTAAAGAACAGAGTACCCGAACAGGTAAGAACAGAGTACCCGAACAGGTAAGAACAGAATACCGAGCAGGTAGTGAACAGAGTACCCGAGCAGGTAGTGAACAGAGTACCCGAGCAGGTAGTGAACAGAGTACTTGAACAGGCGTGGGTGTGTATTGCACCCATTATAAAATCTGTAATGGACCCAAAATGTTCCTGAAACTTAATCTGTGACTTCATGAAAACTGTGCTAGCTATCAAAATGTCCATTTGGCTCAATAACGACCAGCATTTTGTCTACGTTTTAAACTTTAAATTATTTTTCTATGTTAAAGTACAAGTAGTCACTATGGGTCCAAAGTTAAGTGTTTTTTTTGCTCTCTTCACACATTCAAGTCAATGGGGTGATTTTGCTCCGTTGTTTGCAATTTTCGGGGAATCCGCTGGGCGAATCTCTCTAAAAAATACTTAGCACACTATTCCCGATCAGGCCGCACGTTTTGATGTATTTTTTGCGCAGGTGTTGCAACACTGTGTGAGGAGAAGCGCGCCAAACTTTTGGCGGAAGATGGAGAATAAGAACTAGAAAATGCATTTCCTGCTGAAAATGCGTTGGAATGCTGAAAGCTGAAATGAGAAATGGGAGACTACCCGTCTGAAAAATGTTGAAGCCCGAAAGCATTTAACAGCACTGCTGAAAACCCTTCTAGTTGAAATGTCTAACTATGGTGTCTGTAGCTGAAAGTATGAGGAAGAAGAAGGCTTTGAAAGTTGAAGTTTAAGAGGATTTGAAGATTTTCTCCATAGAGATCCCATTCAAAATAAATTGCAAAAAGCTTAATATTTCAAAAAGTTTAAAGATTAGAAATATGAAAAGTCATAGCACACGTGTCCTTAATGAGCTGAACATTTTGATATTTGAACGGTTTCTATAGCTTAAAAAATGTGGAAGAAGATAAGTAGCAAATTACGTACGGAAGAAATAGAAGAAGTTGAAGAAAGATTTGAAGAACAATACTTGGAATGCTGAATCTGCATTCCAACAATAAACCCGCAGGATTACAGTCAGTGTGCTTTGCCACAAAGCCACACTGAAAAACAGATTTCACAAACAAAAGTAAAAATATGACATGATAGAAACATGTCTGATTAAACGTTTTATTACAAGTTTTACAGCAAACTGTTTCTTCTAATGTTTAATGTAATTGATCTTCTTTGTTGTGGTACTGAAGTACCGGATCAATGGAGGAGTGATACACAGGAAGTCCATACAGACAAACAGGAAGTCATCATTTGCCTTTCTTCATCTTGGACACTTTCTCTTTCCTCTTCTTCACATGTTTTGGTACTTTAGTCTTTCTTTTTTCTCTCTGAGCTTCTTTCACAATCTTCTTCTTCTCCTGAAAGAATAAAATAAAAAAAACATCGTTATTTTTATGCCTTCCTGTCTCAGCTGGAGGACAGACTGCTTCTACTATAGAAAGAGCGTTAAATACCTTTTTGTCAACCTGGCCTTCCTCACTCTGCTCCTGCTGATCTTCCTCCTCCTCCTCCTCCTCCTCCTCCTCTTCTTCATCCTCCTCCTCTTCTTCATCCTCCTCCTCAGAGGATGCAGACTGGTCATTCTCCAGGAGAGCAGGAACCTGAGAGGATCAAACACAGTAAACCTCTTCATCTCTTCAGCTAACAGTGGAAACAAATTAGCATCTAGTCGTGTTTCCATTCAAATGTGAATTTTAAGCAAAATGAGTCACAAAAAGAAGAGCAAACTAGAAAATGCATTTCCTGCTGAAAATGCGTTGGAATGCTGAAAGCTGAAATTAATTGTAAAAAAATTGCTGAAAATTAAGAAATGGGAGACTACACGTCTGAAAAATGTTGAAGCCCAAAAGCATTTAAACTGCACTGCTGAAAACCCTTCTAGTTGAAATGTCTAACTATGGTGTCTGTAGCTGAAAGTATGAGGAAGAAGAAGGCTTTGAAAGTTGAAGAAGTTTAACAGGATTTGAAGATTTTCTCCACAGAGATCCTTAGCTTCAAAAAGTTTAAAGATTACAAATATGAAAAGTCAAAGCACCCGTCTCCTGAAAAAGCTGAACATTTTGAAAGGGAAAAGTCCTCTCAAAATCTCATAGACCTTAATGACTGTATGAGAGAGAGAGAGTGATAGAGACATAGACAGAAAGATAGAGAGAGAAGAGAGTGAGAAAGACAGACAGGTATATGGACTGAGTGAGTGAGACAGCTAGACAGACAGTTTTATGGAGTGAGTGAGTGAGACAGGCAGACAGACAGGTATATCGACTGAGTGAGTGAGTGAGACAAGCAGACAGACAGTTTTATGGACTGAGTGAGTGAGACAGACAGACAGGAGGTCTAACGATCTCCCATGAATATCTCCAACTCATGTGTGTCTGTGTGTTGAGAGAGACAGAGAGACAGAGAGCCTGCCTGCGTGCGTGTAACTGGTTGCCATGGTGAGGACGTACCTGTTGGAGAGTCTGTGAGTCTGTGTTTATCAGCTTCACTAATGAGCTCAATCATAAACAGCTGTGTGCCTCCAGCCTTTTAATGGAGATACAACTGGGAAACACCTCTCAAACAAATCATCAAAACTCCCATAACCATAAATGAGAGGAAGGATGAGTTGAAGAACAGATCCTGTAAAAATTGTGTCTGTAGTCTAAAAAATGTGGCTGAACTGGCGATCTAGAAATGGGGTACCGTGTTCTGTGGAAGATGTTTTTGAAGCAAAATTTAACATTGGTCTCTATGGAGCAGAAAGTTGGTTTTCCTCTCAATTACAGGCTTCTGTGTCAAATGTGTAAATCTGTGGGATTCCACAGTTATTTGTCTACGACAAGGACAAGATTAGCTACTTTTACATCCAGAAATTATGCATGAAGAGTGAAAATTGTGGAGACAGTGGCAAAATACAAATGTTTTTTTCACAAGAATCTCAAGCTGCTCTTCACTCTAGCGGTGACATCACGCACTCTAAGCTGCGCAATACACACCCATTATAAAGTCAGAAAAGGAGTGAAAAAATCATAAAAGTTAAAATGGGACAGTTCAAAAAGTATAAAAGATATCAAAAAGCTGAATAATGCGGCAATAGATCAGGGTTTTCTCAACATTTGAAAGTTGAAATGGTGTCTGTAGCTGAAAGTATGAGGAAGTAGAAGGATTTGAAATTTGAAGAGGATTTGAACATTTTCTCCATAGAAACCCATTCAAAAAAAAATTGCAAAAAGCTTAATAATTCATAAAGTTTAAAGGTTAGAAATATGAAAAGTCATAGCACCCCTCTGCTGAAAGAGCTGAACACTTTGATAGTTGAACGGTTTCTGTAGCTTAAAATATGAAGGAGCAGAAGAGTTTCAAAAAGTGTACGGAAGAAATATAAAAATAAAAATAATATAAAGAAGAATAAAGATTTGAAGAACAATAGTTGGAATGCTTAACAGCATTCCAACAATTATTGAATTTCAATCAACTGGTTTGGAGCGAATAAACTTTGTAGTAAACAGAGAAGAGGAAGAAGAAGGTTAGGTTGATGCCAGAGGAGTGAGTTACAGTAGTCGGGTCTTAAGAAGATGAATGACTTTATACAGATCAGGGTGAGAGAGGAGTGGTTTGATTCTGGAGATGGTTCTTATTTGACAAAAAACAGGACTGAACTACTTTTGTGATTTGTGGTTTGAAGCTTAAATCCGAATCAAATAGTAAGTATTCAATAGTCCTGAGTTTCTGGCAGTGGAC